CTGGAAGCCAGCTGAGAAGGTTGCAAATGCCAATCATATGACCCATGGATGCTGCAACTGTCATATATGCATACTGGTTGCCAAGCACCTGAATTTTGATCATGCTGCGACCATGGAGAAGCTAAGTGTCAGGACCATCATGAATCATAATATTGACTTCCTCCAAGAGCCAATATTAAGAATTCTTTGTGGTCTCCCATCCACCGTCATGCTTGATTCTACCTGAAAACACCAGCATTAAACTCCATCCCTTCCGTAGCTACATCTCAAGGCTGTTTAAAAATTACAGATTCGGCAGGAGTTAGAAGCCAACAGCATCTGCATTTATGAATTTCCTGAGTGTGACTCTGATGAAGATGAAGCGTTCAAAGCTCAAGATGCTGAAATGAAGGTGAGAGCATTGTAACCTATTGTATGTTGCACAGGCAGGATGCTATCTGGAGTTAGATGACTGTATCTCGACCCTGGCTACTTGAAGAGGTGTGGTGGAGATTCAACCCCCAGAAGTCCACACCTCTTCAAGTGGCCAAAGTCCAACACTGGATTATTTAAAGCAGCCAAGCATCTAATAATAACTGTTCTCCCTGCAGAGAAGCATCCCTTTTGCTGTCGTTGGGTCTAGCCACGTGGTCAGAGAGTTAAAGGGCAAAGGATTTCGGGGAAGAGAGTATGCTTGGGGAACGGTGGAAGGTAAACCTTTTAAAGATTTCTTAAAATCTTTTTAAGAGCGACACGGGCAGCAGAGGGCGCTGTGCCACGGGAAGTCCGAGGTGGTCCTGATCTCTTTTTCCCTTCTCCTAGTGGAGAACGCTGCTCATTGCGACTTCCTTAAACTTCGGAACATGTTGATTCAAACTCATATGCAGGACCTGAAGGACGTGACTCACGAGGTTCATTACGAAAATTACCGCGCACAGTACATTCAGAGTCTCACCAGATCCGGGGCTCGGGATCGCAGTAGCCGCGCGTAAGTCCGCTTTGGGACTTCCGGAAATGGGAATTTAGCTAAGAGAACTCAGATGAGGAGGTCAAGAATGAATCAAGGGGCTGACTGGGTTTGTATGGCATAGGGCAGAGGTGGAGAGAACTACGGCCTCTTGCTGGGGAATTCTAGAAGTCCATATACATCTTAAAAGTTGCCAAATCTGAAAAACACCAATTTGAATCCAGGTGGCCATTGGCATATCACCGCAATTGAGCCTAAAATTTATGTTATTTGTTAAGTGCGTTATGCCCCAGTTTCTTGCTAAGCGAGACCTTTGTTAAATGAATTTTGTCCCATTTCATGACCTTTCTCGCCTCAGTTGTTAAGCAAATAACTGCAGTTGATAATTTAGTACCCTGGTTGTTAAGTGAATCTGGCTTCCCCATTGATTTTGCTTGTCGGAAGGTCGCAAAAAGGGGATCACATGACCCCAGGATGCTGCAACGGTCATAAATATGAGTCAGTTGCCATGCATCTGAATTTTGATCACATGATCATGGGGATGCTGCAAAGGTTGTAACTATGAAAAACAGCCACAAGCCACTTTTTTCAGTACCATTGTAACTTTGAATGGTCACTAAGTGAACTGTTGTAAGTTAAGGACTACCTGGAAAGCATAAATAAGCAAATCGTAGATAACATACAATAGCAAGAATGTGACCCAGTGAACTTTTAAACTCCTGTCTCGCTAGGAAACTGTCACGCCAGAGTGCCACTGACCTGCCTGTCCTGCCGATGCTTGAGACAGAGAAATTAATTCGCGAGAAGGATGAAGAGGTAAGTCACAAAGAGGATCAGGACGGTTGTGCAAACTCTTGCACTTCCCTAAGGGACTGACTTTTCCAACCGTCTTGCTATCACGTTGTTGCAAAGGAGAAGGATGGACTTCTGCAACTTTCCATCTCATCTTTCCCGCTTGGTTTCCATCTTAGTGGCAAGCGGTGGGGAATCTCTTGACAACCTGTCAGTCTTGCGAGGTAGGCCAGACAAGAAACACGCCCAGAAATACAAGTTCTACTTTATTCTAAAGTTGACAGAATCTTGCAAGTCCAAAAGAGCCATCTCTCTCCCCTCACTTTTACAGCCTAAGAAACCAGGGAAGGTCTTGTTTGCTATACCCTAATTCTGACCGCAGCTTTTCCCCAAGGTCATTTCAACACACCATTACAGAATCAGATGCGAAGAGACCGCTCAGAGAAAAGACAAAGCGCTTTCTCCCATTTGCCTTATAAAAGACAAATATACACCAATAAAGAGTATTTGTAGGTCAGGTTTGAACTGTGGAATCTTTGTACCCTTGGAGCTTGGTTGTTTTCTTGCAGTCATTTCATTACCTAAAACTACATAATATCATCAGTGCTAGTCAGTGTAGAATTTCCTTCCCGTTTATTTTTATATATTTCATGTTTCTAAGCCACCCATCGCCTTCAAAAGGGATTCACTTGCTTATATACTCCACTAGCGTTGATGATCCCAAAGGTGTTTTTTCAAGAGGCAACTGGATTGTTTTTCCTTGAAGATGTTTCCCTTCTCATCCAAGAAGCTTTTTCAGCTCTGACTGGATGGTGGGGAATGGAAGGATTTATACTTCTTGCAGACAGCTGGTCATTTGCATCCTTTTATGGAATAGTTGAGGCCACTTGGAGGTTTTATCTGTGCCCTCAGGGTCGCCTGAGTACTGCAAACAGGTGTGGAGCCTTTTTGGAACGGCTGAAAGGATTGTGTTAGAGACCTTTGGGATAACCATGATGTGGATTACTTAGGATCTCCACAGACATTGAGCACTGATGATGTTACCTAGTTGGGTAAGGAAACATTTGCAAGGAAACAACCTAACTCAGAGAGCAGTAAGGACATCACAGAAGACAAATGTGTTTCATAACTGCCAGCCACAGAGAGGGAAATGCAGGTTCCTGCCCTCTTAGTCAGGTTAGGTACAGCCTTTGCCCAGAGCAATCCATCAACTTCCCAACCCAAATCTCAGCCGCTCTTGCATAATAGTCTCAGGCTGCACTGTGAGCACAACTTTCATTTCTCCATTGGTTTTCCCAGCTCCGTCGGATGCAGGAAATGTTACGGAAAATGCAGGAACAGATGCTGCAGAACAAGGGAGAACAATGCGACAGCTTGTGAAAAAGCCTCTTTCCCCAAGAACCAGAGGAATCCACGAAGGGAGATTGGCTGATCTTTGGGTCAGGTTAGCTCTGCCAGACGAACTCTGCATTTGGAGAAGGGGGAAAGGGGATTCCTTTCCTTCATTCCTCTATCTCCTTCTTTCACAGACCTCTTTTCCCATCCATTAATAGGAAATACTCAACTTGCCAGCCTAGTAGTGCTTCAGCAATCCAAAATGCTCCAATAAAATGCAATTTTTGGATCGATGTCAGGCCTGGAATTTTTAATGCACTTTATTCTCTCTCAATTTCTTATAAGGTATTAATATCTAAAGCAGGATGTCAAACTGGGGGTCCGTGGGCCAGATGTGTCACACGCAGGATATGCCCACCCCAGTTCCGTGAAGGGGAAAACCATCATGATACATCACGTGGCGGCAATGCGATGCAGCAAGCTTGACACCCATCACACCCGTTATCTGAAGTAGAACTGATTCATGATTAGGGATTGAGCCTTGTCCAGCATCAAATATAGGTGGTCCTTGACTTATGACCATAACTAAGCCCAGGATATCTGTGGCTAAGTGTGATGTTTGTCAAGTGAAGTTTGCCCCAGTTAATGATCTATCTTGCCACAGTTGTTAAGTGAAGCAGTGCTGTTGTTAAGTTAGTAACACAGTTGTTAAGTGAACCTGGCCTCCCCATTGACTGTCAAGGTCTCAAAAGGTGATCACGTGACCCCAGTACACTGCAATCATCATAAATACAGGTCAATTGCCAAGTGTCCAAATTTTGATCATGTCACTATGGAGGTGTGCAACAGTCATAAATGTGAAATACTGTCATAAGACGCTCTTTTTGAATGGCCACTAAATGAATGGCTGAAAGCCGAGGACTCCCAGTAGCTGCTTTTCAATAGGACCTAATCATAAATCCATATCTGATTTATTCAGGATCATTTTGATTTATCAGCACACCTTGGCTAGAGTGACACAGCTCACTCAACTGTTATATTGATCCTTTTGTCATGGAGGTGTTTTGTGCGATGGCAGGCAAAGCCATCATGATTGAACCATCATCGCTTAGCTTAACATGAGAACCAAATATTTTTAACAATATCTATAGATCTTCTGCAAGAATGCTGAGATATTACATTTGAATAGTTGGTAAGAAGCCACAAAAAGATGACTTAGAAAATTAACTCTTCGTTCTCGACTTAGTCCTCAACTTACAACCTTCATTGAGCAATTGAAGTTACAATGGCAGTAATAAAAATGACTTATGAACAGTTCTTACTCTTTTTACGTTGCAACTCCAAAATTTGATCAAAATTGGGATGCTTGGCAAACATTTATGGTTGCAACATCCCAAGACCAAGCTTTCTCAGCTGCCTTCTGACAAGCAAATTCAATGTGCGAAGCCAAATTCACTTAACAACTGTGACTCACTTAACAACTGCAGAGATTCACTTAACGATCATGGCAAGAAAGATCATGGAATCGGGCACATTTCACTTATATTGCTTAAAATTACGGTTCCAATTGTGGTCGTAAGTTGAGGACTACCTATAATAGGCAGAATCAACAGGATAGTTCATTGGGCAATCAAGAATAGGAATATGATGGAGGGAAAACCGAAGTGCTGAAGAAGAAACATAGGTATCCATTTCTATCCACGATAACTCCCACATCATGGTATCTGTGCTACCACTTCACGATGTGCGCTCCACTGTTTCTGCACCTGGATCACAATATCACACATGCATGTGCTGTGTATACATTGTACTATCACATGTATGGAAGGGGGTGACATATTTGCATCATGATATCACTCCTTTCTTCCCACCCTGTAGGAGCAAATGAATCAACACAGAGAAGGCGTATCTAGTAACCTACTGAAATTTTATTATTTTACAACAGTAGCCTTGACACGTTGTCAGTTTGGGGAGGAAAACCAGCACAGCCACTTCATTCTTCAGCCTCCCGCCATTTTTCCCCCCTCAAAAATGCCCTCTGCTTGTTTTTAAGACCCAAATACCAAATGAAGTGTAATCTACACCTTGAGAGGGCAATTCTATTGGGAAGAATGTGGAGTCAGGAAGAGATTGTCAATTCTTCATGTCAAAATAGTGACCACCTATTTTTCTTTAAAAACTAAACTACAGCCACAAGTTGGAGAGAAGAATCTGGCCTCACTCAGAAAGCAGTTTATAAAAAGCTCCTTGCACTTTTATGCTGAATACACCTCCATGAGGAAGGGGACATGCATTTCTCTTTCTAAATGACCTTTTTTTCCACAGCCGATGTGACACTTCAGTTTTACCTCCCTCCAAAGAGATCCCTCTGCACTCCCGTGCATTCATCTGCAACCCTTGAAGTTTGGGGTGGAGAACCTGCAGCTTTCCCAACCGTGGTTGGACTCCCAACTCCAATGACTCTCGGCCAACATGGTCTCAGGGTGTTGGAATTGCAGCCCAACACTTCCTGGGTGGTCAGAGGTTCCCCAAATCTACTATGCAAAGGGGAAAGGAACAAAAAAAAAAAGATCTCCTTTTGTCTATCTTTGAATTAGAGCTTGATGGACCCATCCCACAAAGTCTAGAATGAAAAAGAGGTCGCTTTGAACTGTTCATCCCCAAAAAAGTCCCAAATCATGAAAAGAGCATCTTCTAGAAGACACGGAGTGATTTTTCTTCTCTCCATCCAGGAAGAGATGTGTTCCATACTTATTCCTGATACTCTGTGTATTTCTTGGAGGAACCATACACCTGCTTGGCTGGGTATTTGAGGCGGTTCTTCTCTATTTTACGGAGAGCGGCCGAAGGGAGGTCCACGTGGCATTTGTTTGCCAGCGCAACCAGATAAATGAGGACATCACTGAGCTCGTCACTGAGAGCTTCACGCTCCGATGATGTCCACCCTGGTAAGCCTTCAGGAGCTTCTTCCCGCCATTGGCTAAAAAAGACCACAGACAAAAGCATTGAGTGCAGAAAAACAGCTTAGATGGAGCCAGATTGAAGAGGGGGAATGAACCTGGCTGGGGGAGATTATTTTCTTATGAGGTACTAAACCAAACTTTTTCAGCCTCAACAAGCCAATATCCATGGAAAACCTATTTCTTTCTCTCTCCTTCCTCTTCTTGGTGAGTAGAATAGGGCTTGAAAGCAATTATCCATACTTGGGCCTGCTCTGGCCATGGGTTGTGTTATTTATTTAGCCCAGAAAGAATTACTCTAGCCTTTATCTTAAAAAAAAAAATGAATATATTTTTAAATCTGATGTAATTTGAACGGTCACTAAATTGTAAGTCAAAGTCTACCTGTAGAGGCTAGGGTAATTTATTTCTGGGCTAAATAAATAAATAACATCACCTACGCAGAATCGAATTGGGTCGGTCACCGGACCAGAGGTATTTTTTTCCAAGCCTTCCGATTCATACCAGAGCTGATCCTGAGGGAACTTCTCTGAGGATGGGCTCCAGCATGGATCCAAAAGTTCGGAAGACAAAACCTTTGGTCCCGTGACTGACCCAGACTGGATCCTGCAACATTATCCTGGGACATATATATTCACCTTCATTTGTAACATAACCTATGGAACAGGAACATGCCAAATTGATAAAACCATGAAAAGAGCATTGCAGCATTAATAATAATAATAATAATAATGTCGTCATTTAAGCTCAAACCAAAGAGTCCAGCTTGGCAAAGCAGCACATCTGGATCCCGTCCCCAATTGGTGATATGGATGGGCATTGCAGCAACAAGGAGCCCCATCCACATTTTGTAGATCCACATGCAACTGCAGGCCAAAATTTCAACTTGCCTCCTTGTTTAATTCAAAAGGTATCCTTGCATTTCAATGGAGCCCCCAATGCAGGGGACAACCAATTCTACAAGGAAGCTACTTGCCTCTTAGCAGATGACCTTCAGAGGAAGTCCTATTGCCATCAAAGCTAACTAAATCTTAGCTCTTCCTGTGGACACACAGATAGTCCTCAACGTACAGTCCTTTGTTTAGGGACCAAAGTTAAAACGACTGAGAAAAAACTTATCCTTGCACATATGACTATTACAGTATGCCCATGATAACGTGATTAAAATTTGGATGCTTGGCAACTGGCATGTATTTATGATGAATGCACTGTCCTGTGGTTGTGCGATTGCCATTTATGACCTTCCCAGTCGGCTACCAACAAGCGAAGTCAATGGGGAGAGGTGGATTTACTTAATGCATGATTCATTTAACTGCAGTGATTGCTTAATGACGGTGGGGGGGGGAAAAATATAAAATTGGATAGGACTCACTTAAAAAAAACCACCTTGTTTAGCAATTCAATTCTGGTCTCAACTGGGGCCGTAAGTTGAAGACTACCTCTACCCTTTTCCTGAATTAAACTGCAGAGGGAGGAGAAAATGGAAACCTACAAAATTCAAAGAACTTTATTACGGTCATTAACTAGCGAAAGGAAAGCACACACTCCTCTGCATTGCGTAACTCCTAGAACAGGGGTGTCAAATCATATCACTCCAGCCCTTCTTTTCTCTAGCCTAGCCAAACTTAAATCCTGCTTCATATGTTTTAGTCTCCAGGCCTCCAATCATCTTAGTTGCTTTCGTAGTGTGGAGACAATAACTTGTTCCTCAACACCAATAAGACCAAGGAGGTTATAGTGGACTATAGAAGGAACAGACCAGACATCCAGCCCTTGCTTATCAATGGATACCGAGTGGAGCAAGTGGCCAGTTTTAAGTTTCCGGATGTTACCCTAAAAGAGGACCTGACCTGGGGTGCCCACATTGCAGCCCTGGTCAAAAGGGCCCAGCAGAGATTATGCCACCTGAGGCTTCTCAGAAAACAACTGAATGAGAAATTGCTGGTGACCTTCTACCGCTGCACCATAGAGAGCATTTTAACATACTGCACCTCTGTATGGTTTGCCAATTGCCCAGTGGCAGATAGGAAAGCACTCCAGAGGGTTAATGTCATTGCCCAGAAGGTCATTGGTTGCCCTCTTCCCTCTTTGGAAGAGCTTTATAGCTCCCGCTGCCTTAAGAAAGTTCAAAACATTCTTATTAAAGATCCATGTCATCCTGGGAACCCACTTTTTTTAAACTATTACTATCTGGCAGACGGTACAGAATAATAAAAACAAGGACAAATAGGCTGAAAAACAGCTTCTATCCCAGGGCAGGAGCTCTTTTGAATTCTGCTGCATAGTGCAGTGTTGGTGCATTGTCGGGGGTTTTCAGTTCAACGTGTGGAGGGTGAAGGATGTGTGTTTGTGTTTATTTTCATGGTCCTGATGTGCACTGAAGACGGTGTTTGATTTCGTTGTACGAGGTGCAATGACAATAAAGTAAACTAAAAAAAGTTGCTCTTCTTAGTACTTTTTCCTAGTGAAGTACTTTGTACTTTTCCGCAGTGGGTGGGCAAATACAGCACATGTGAAGAAAGATACCTGTGGTCCCCAGGAAGGCATTTTTGGATCTACCACCCCATCTCTCTCCCTGCCTAAACTCCACAGATCGTTATACTCACAAGAGCTCTGCCAGCTCCCCAACCTCTCCAACCAGAGCAAGAAGCAGATTCCGAGGTTGGTGGTACTTTCCCCAGCCCCTCTCAGCTGCAAAGGCGGACTGGAGGCTCCGACTGCAGGAGAGAAAGCGGAAGAGAAGATGAGAATCCCCCAGAGACTATCCATATGCTCCTCTTCCAAAAAAGGGGAAGCAGAATGAATGAAGGGTAAGTGGGGTGAGATAAGGGGGTGTCTCACATGTCTTCCAAAGTGGGATTCGCACTAAACTTAAATGGGACTGGAGATGCGTTGGGTCCATTAGTCACTACTGCCTCATCTACTTCCTCCTCCTTCTTTGTTGAGCTGGCGTGAGAGGCCTGGTGAGGGAAATCAGAGTAAAGTGAATATTTGCCTTGTTGGAAATAAGAAAATGGTCCCACCACTTCACAATAGCCTGCTTACAACGAAATTATAAGAAATTAAGATGTATGCTTGAAGTGGAGGGCAAAGGAAAACTTAAAATGGATCTTTCTGTGGTAGCCTAAATTATTTCTGTGTCCGAGCGTTAAATAATAACAAAAAAATGATCTTGGGTCATACCTTCTTATAATTATTAAAGATGGGGTGGGTGGAAATAGGATTGGGTGGAGGTAGGATCTGTTATTAAATGATCCATCACCTCCACTGTGAGGCTCCTCCTTTGGAGCCTCACAGTAACTGGCAACACACCATGAACTAGC